ATTCATAAAAAACAAGTTATGAGCAGTCCACCCCTAAGTAATGGTAACCATGCTAACGCTGATCATACTGAAACTAAAGAAAAAAAAAGATTTGGGATTCAGCTTTGATGGTCATCCTTTGATCTAATTGCTCTGATCTAAATGCCTCTGATTTATGGTTTTTCTGCTGTTGTCTGAATATTTCTGCTTGTTGTTGAATTGATCTGAATAGATTGGAGGTGATCTCCTCCAGGCTTGTCCTGATCCGATATTTGGATCGGATTGCCTGCCAATATTTGCTGAAAAATGCGTATCGGCCGGCATGACAAAATGCCGATCCAGACTCTCTATCCATTAAAAAAAAAAAAAAACCCAATCCCACACGAGCATGAGCATCTCCTTACCTACAGGTCTGTTTTCTAACCACTAAATCGCTATTAGTAAATCCCAGTTCAACATGAGTCTGACAACTAAGTAAGTAGGCTAAATAACTTTAAAATTTAATACACGCTCTGATAGGCCCGTATCAGCCGGTATCGGATCAGAAGTGCAAATAGATCGAATCGGTATCGGATCGGAAGTTCAAAAAGCTGGATCGGGACATCCCTAAATTCTCCTCCCCTTGGAACATTTAAACTGCCCCATCATGCTGAATATCTTACAGCGATCAGATGGTCCAATCAGGTCCAGACTGTGAGGAGCAGCTCAAACTGTCCCTGCGTATAGGCTCAGGTTTCTCTCTGGCCTTCAGTCATGGCATTTTGTGCATTTGTTAGCATTTATGTTCAGGAGCATTTGCTTTTCAGCTGTCTTTACCTGTGAGCCTCTTTTGCTGCATCTCTTTTAAAGTTTTGTGTAAATAACTTTGGTTTTTGCCTTTATAGCAACCGAAACTTTCAAAAGATCTAAATTTGGGAGGTACAGCAGGAACATCTGTTGGCAGCATGAGATGCAAAAGCTGTGGCTTCTATTCATTTTCTAAAGGCCTTCAGGTTCTTTCTGGCTTGGTCTGGTGGAACAAGAGCTTTGATGGGTGATGATCATTAAGTTTAAGTGGTAGCCAAAGTCAGGCTTAACAATGTCAGATTACTTCTGAATGATTAGTTTCACACTTTCATATGAAATCTGAATATATGATGTTTTCTTTGATCTGAAAGAGGAGTTTGCTTGTTTTGTTGGATTCAGACTCACCAGAAAAATTGAAATCATCACAGAAACTCTTTAAAGATGGCCAGACATGCTTAAACTGAGTTTATTTCCTCACTTTGGAGACATTAAACAGAGGAATAGTTTACACCTGTAGAACAGAGGGGAGCAGCAAAAAGGCCAAAAGAGGAAGCACATTTCAGTCATTTCCTGTCACACCCGCCTAGTTCAGCTGTTTGTTAGTCTGTCTGTATCCTAGTGAACACTTTGTCATCTTGTTATTTTGGCTGTTGTATCTATAAAGTTAACTCAAACTAAACTTGTGCAGATTCCTGCAGTCTTTTTTGATGCTTTTTTGGGCAAGCGGCTTCCGATCAATCAATTTGGGATGTAAAGATGATAAACTGAAGCATGTCCAGTCTTTGAGGCGGCAGGTATTCATGTTCCTGGAGTCCCCCACACAGACACTGGTGTTGTCCTTCAGGGTGAAACACGGGGATGGGCTGTACATGTGATGAGATGTTGGACACAAAAGATCTGCATGTCCACACAAACAGAGTTATCCATTGATAAGGCAGTGGAGGAGCAGGAGGAAGCAGACGGGCTCCTGCTGTCTTTTTGAACACCTGAACTGTGGAACTTCTCGAAAACATCAAAGAAGAGCCTGTATGCTGTGTCTTGTGGAGGTCCTGAACAGAGCGATGCTGGCAGGGGTCAGAGAGTCGAGGTGGTCTGATGTGTTGGCGCCAGGTTCATCTCCCAGGGGCAGCTGGAGGCCTCTGTGCAATCATCAGCCCACAAAGGTCACTCTGCATCTTTTGATGCCATTATGAGGCCTCTCAACTCAAACTGGACCAACTTCACCAAGGAACCGGAGGAGTACCGGTGGAGGGTTAGGGTTCTTAGAGGGCGCGTTCACTCTGCATTAAAGGTCCCATTAAAATAAGCTTCTGCTTAACTTCTGAACGTGAAAATGGTAGATTTAGGTCAGAGTTGAAGTTCTTCGCTGGCTGTTGTGTGTCTGCATTCAGCTGCTCAGACCTTAGTCTGCATGTTTGCTCACCATGTACAATAATGACTAAATCATCTGTTTTAGGGAAATCATGGCCCAAAAAGAGCTCTGTGCTTCTTTCAGTTTCACAGGCAACATAATGTCGGTCACTGTTTGAAAAGAAGAAAAGAAGCAGAAGGAGTAAAAAAAAAACACTTCAATAGGCTGAAAGGCAGGAAGTACAAATGGGTCCAAAGTGACCCCTAAACACGGAGGGTTGAGAGGAACCGGCTGCAGAGGGTAAACAATGTTTCCTATCACAGAATAAGTTAAAGACTCAGCCTTCAATGAACAGCTCATTAAAACAGGGCTTCTCACTGCAGCTTCTCCTGCAGTGAGAAGCCCGCGGCTACCTCACGTTGGAGTACAGACACTCATCGGAAGCACGCCGTGGCGCAGAACCCCCGCCCAGCCGGGGAACAGAGTACACCACGTCTGGATCCCCGCTAGGAGCGCTGACCGTGGGGCGGGAGCCCCTGCTGGACAAATCCACCGCTGCGTAGATGGTCTTAGGTGTGCCGGCTGCAGCCTGCGGAGGAGAGAGCACAGCTTTTAGAGATGCTCCGATACAATCAGCACGGTTTAGAGCAAATCTTAGATCAGTGTTTTAAATTCCAGCTTTTCCTCGACCAATGGAACAAAATGGGGAAAAATGAGCGTCTCAGAGCTCTTAGTCTCAGATCGCTTAGGAAAAACTCCTCTGTGATGTCTGGGTGGCAGTCAGGATGGTGTGCGCTCACCCTCAGATGTGCATGCAGACCCACTGACTTCCACACTGTGAACAGATGTGCATGCAGACCCACTGACTTCCACACTGTGAACAGATGTGCATGCAGACCCACTGACTTCCACACTGTGAACAGATGTGCATGCACACCCACTGACTTCCACACTTTGAACAGATATCTATGCAGACCCACTCACTTCCACACACACACTGAACAGATGTGCATGCAGACCCACGACTTCCACACACACTGAACAGATGTGCATGCAGACCCACTGACTCAACACAAACTGAACAGATGTGAACCTTGTCAGAGGCCTGACAGCATCTTTCTTCGAGCCCACAGCTGGAGCATCAGGCCTTTGCTGGAGATGAGTAAGTGGCAGAACTCCGATCAGAACTGGTTCTTTTCCGTTTTCTTACTTCTGGCTGAGCGCTGTGGGCTGAGAGGAGGCTGTAGTCATCAGCTCCTTGCAGGTTGGTGAAGGAGGTGCAGCTGTAAATAGTGGAGATCTGCACTGGAGGAGTTGTCTGTTGATTCCCCCTCTCATCCTGATGCAGAAAAAGAGGAATGAGTTTGTGTTTGCTTTCAGTTTTTTAACAAAAAGGTTAAAAAAGGTTCCTCAAACTCACCTCGTTGATGCTCTCATACTCTGTTTGCTCACAGCGATCTGAAAAAAACTCTGATTTTAGTTCTGAAAAAGGCTGAACACCCTCCACCCCTAATAACAAAGATTCCTCACCCTTTGGGGGGGGCACAGATCTCCTCCTGCAGAACACCAGCAGGGCCACTGAGAACAGGAACACCACAAAGGCCAGAGCCAGACCCACCAACAGTAGCATGTCTGCAGAGGTTTGAGAAGAACCGATTGGTGTGATTCAAGGGAATTCATCAGGTTTTCATCAGGATTACATCAGGGTTCATTATGGCACTGAGCT